TGGGAGTGTCAGAGACAGTGCGGTTGGCACAGGACAGAGCGGAGTTTAGGGCTGTTGTACATAGGGTCGCTATGAGTCGCAGGCGACTCGACAGCACATAACAACAACAACAACAAATCTGATACTATCTTTTAACTGAATTCTGACATGGAAAAAGAGTTGCCAGTACTAAAGATTTTTTTAAAAAGGAAAACTATGGGAGGGAGAAAACTTATTTTGAGAAAATCCTATGCATTAAATGAGCCTTTTTTTTCATAAATCAAGAAACCCTGGTGATATAGTGTGTTAAAGTTTTGAGCTGTGAACTCAAAGGTCAGCAGTTCAAATTCCCCAGCTACTCTACTAGAAAAGGAGTTCTGGTGGCCTAGTGGCAAGAAGCTGCACTGCAATCCTGAAGGCACACAGTTCAAGGTCTCCAGCTGCTCCTCAGAAGGATGGGCAATCTTGTCCAGTGCGATTAACTGCCTCTGAGAACCTGCAGGAGGGTCAGCTATGGGTCGGTTAGACTTCATGGTACACAACAACAACAACAACTGCAACTGTTTTGGAAAAAGCTGCAGTGGTCTCCTCTAGAAGCCTCATGGCCTTGGAAATCCAATGGAGGGTATGCCATGAATCAGAAACAACTTGAGGGCAATGGACTGGGCATTTTTTGTTTTACAATTTATTTTAGCACTGAAATACCAAAGTTTCTAGCAATGAGAACAAGTATGTTAGAATACACAGCTTCTGTGGCAAAGAAAACCCACAGTGATCTTCTGTGATGTACATAAAAGGCATTCTTCATGGTCTTGAGCCAAAAGAGACAATGTATTTAAGGAAAACCAAGCCTTTAGAACTGTTACCACAGGTAAAGTATTCCCTTAAAGCAACCTCTTAGCAAGCTGCTTCAAAGAGTAAGACGTCTTCAGGCACAGGTGCCCCCAAGGTTCCATAACTTTCATGAGAACCATGTGTGTGATTCAGGCTTGGGCACCAGACATCTGACTGGCTGTGGAGAGAAAAGGATCAGGCAGGTAGCAGAGAGAGAAGGTCAAATATAAAGGTTACCTCCAGAATTGCATCTTCGTGCAATCTCCCAGTATACAAGCCCAAGGGCATAGATATCAGCACATTTAAAGGAGTCAAAGTGTTTCATATTTATAGTTTCATCAAGTACTTCAGGGGCCATGTACCTGTAACAACAAAGGATGATGATCATGCATAAAGACATGTATCCCTTGCCTACAGTTTTCTTTTAAATCCAAGTATTTATTGACTTAGGGGCCTTCTGAATATGGGAACAGATATGACTAACCTCAACTACAGAACATTATCACAAAAAGGCCCTTGGGGAGATGGTGAGCCATTCTCTTTTATCACATTTCCCCATATGTTTTGGATTCAAATCTAAATACTTCAACATAGTTTTGAAAACACCGAACAACAAACTCAACCAACTGCTGTCAGAACCAAGTAACTCAAAGCTGATTCTCCAGTGGGTTTTTAGTGGCTGAGAGTCACCTGGGAGGAGATTTTGCCTATCTTTCTCCCACTGAGCTACTGGTCCCTCTGACAATACTAGGCTACTCTTATTTTAACCAGGTTTTGACTTCATAGCAGAAATATTGTGGGTCAGTCACACAGAAGTAACAATACAAATTATCTATCTGGCTGCTACAGACTGGGGTTTTGTATTTTGTTCACTGTAACCACAAGGATGAACTGAACTTCAATTTCATGGTCAACTTCTTTTATTCTTCCTTGATTTCAGCTATGTAAAAATTGCCAGTTTTCCAAGTCACCCTGTGTTCAATACTATAAATCAAGAGATAACTTTACTATATTGCAACTGGGTATCTGCAATGACTGTCAAAAGGAAGAAAAAGAAAAAAAGGAGAGCAATACAGTTTAGTAAAACACACTGTGGTTCAGTTATATAAACAGACCCTATCTTACATTCTGTCAAAATACAGTCTTTGTATCTCACATACATGGAAATTACTTAAAAACTGATCAGTAAGATACGTGTAAAAATAGAGTAAAAGTCTTATAAGAAAACAAAGGTAAAAGGATCTTATTTTTGACAACAGATTCTTTGCTATGCTATCTAAAACACAAAAAAAATGTTAAAAATATGAGCAATAAAAAAAAAGCGGACTACTAATTTTGGAAACGGTTGCTTTTTCCTTAAAGAAGGTTTTCTTGTGGTGAAAGATACAGGACAAAACATTTTCCACTTCTCTATGTACAATTCAGGGACACTCACGGTGCTGTGAAAACATCGCCACTGTCCACTTTCAAAAATTTTCATCACTCTTAAAGGAAACTTAGTACCCCTTAAGCAGTACTCTCCACTCCCACCTGCCTGAGAGATGCCTGTTCAAGAATTTCATGTAAGTGAGATTGCACAGGATTAGCCCTTTTGGCCTGACTTATTTCACTCAGAACAATGTTTTCAAGCTTCATATAGATTAGAGCAAGATCAGAACTTCACTTCTTTTTACGGCCAAATATTATTCCAATACACAAACATGTCCCATTTTACTAAGCCTTCAATCTACTGATTAATTGTTGAGTGTATTTTTTACCTTTTGGCAATTTTGAATAATGCTGCCAAGAACGCAGAGCATAAATCTGAGTTCCTACTTCTTTCAGGTAAATAAAGCTAGCTTGCTTATTTATTTATTTATTATTAGTAAAAGTAAGCTTTTTTTAAAAAAAATTTAAGTCATTGTTCCACACTAAACACTTGCACAAGTATTTTATCAAGAAAGAAAGAATATACTTTGAAAAAAAATTTGGTAATCATGTATCTGATTAAGGTTTATTACCCAGAATACAGAGTTCTGTTGGCTTAGTGGTAAGGAATTACGCTGCCAACGCAAAGGTACACAGTTCAAATCCACTAGCTGCTCTGCAGGAGAAATCTGAGCAATCTCTTCCCGTGCGATTTACTGTCTCTGAAAAACTGTTAGAGGGTCAGCAATGGGTCAGTTCCAACTCAATAATGCAATCAATCCAGAATATATAAGGAACTCATACAACTCAACAAAAGGGCAAACAACAACTAAAAAACAGGCAAAGAATCTAAATAGACACTTCTCTAAGAAAGATACCAAAACGGTCAAGAATCACATAATAGGCACAGTCTCTCCATTGTTAATTACTGGGGACATGGAAGTCAAAATCACATTCATAACCACCAGGAGAGCAGTTATCAGAAAATGGAAAACAGTAAGATCTGGTGAAGGTGTGGAAAAATTAGAAACATTGTGTGTTGCTGGTGGACATGTAAAATTGTGAACTCACTGTGGAAAAGTTTTGCCAATTATAGAATTACCATATGACTCAGCAATCCTGCTTGCAGGTATATATTCAAAATAACTAAAAACAGAGACTCTCTTAGATACTCGTACACTAATGTCCATTGCAGCACTATGCACAATAACCCCAAGGTGAAAACACCCAAGTATTCATCAACAGATGAGCGTATAAAGAGAAGGTGGCACATACACACATGGAGTATAACACAGCTAAAAAGAAAATAACATTCATACATGCCACTACATGCATGGGCCTTGAAAATGATGTTAGTTGCTTCTGAGTTGGCTTCTACCCAAAGCAATCTTATGTGTAGAAAAATATTTTGCTGAATGAAGTAAGTAAAACAAATAGAAAAGAAATATTATCTTTGATTCTTGTTGCATCAAATTAACTCACACCAAACCCTCCAGTGGGTTTCCGGGGCTGTGAATCACATAAAGTGGGAGGTGACTGCCTATCTTTCTCCTGTGTCGGCACTGATACATTCAAACTGCTAGCGGGGCATGGCCTTTGGGTTAGCAGTACAGTTCCCTATGGTTTACACCATCAGAACTCTCCCGTTAAATATCAAAAGCAGGCAAACACATAGACTAAAAGCTACTGGTGGCCAGCAGGAGCTGGAGTAGGAGCAGTGTGCTTTCAAAAGCTGTTGGAGGAGGGTCAGCTATGAGTTGGCTCTAGCTTGATGGCAGTGAGCTTTCTTCTTTTTTTTTCATTTTTATTGTATTATTTTTACGTGTACCGTCAAATCAGATCTGACTGGTACAGGAGGAGATTGCCCCCTCCTTCTCCAGCAGAGCATCTGGTGGCAGTGAGCTTTCTTAGTGAGGGGCTGAGGGGAGGGACAAACAGGGACTTAATGCTTAAGGGGTACCAAGTTCCTGTGTGTGGTAATAAAAATCTTTTGAAACTACATAAAGATCATGTTTGCACAACATGGTAAATCTAATTCATATCACTTAAAAATGGTAAATATTTGTTAAATTTTTTTACAACAATAAAAAGGAAAGCAGCTGTATTTTCAACTCATAAAGTCAATCTTAAAATTCTTTGGTAGGAGGTGGAAAGTAAGCCTGTAATGCTTACAAATGGCCCAATCCCCACCCTGGACGACCTCTGGAAAGCAGCTGTATTTTCAACTCATAAAGTCAATCTTAAAATTCTTTGGTAGGAGGTGGAAAGTAAGCCTGTAATGCTTACAAATGGCCCAATCCCCACCCTGGACGACCTCTATTCTAACTTAGCCCTCAAAAAATGATGCCTTCAAATTGGAACTGACTCACAGCTGACCCTCCAGCAGGTTTTCTGAGACTGTGAATCAATCACCTGAGAGGAGATAGCCTATCTTTCTCTCCAAGGTTGTGTTGTTGTTATGTGCCGTCGAGTCGCCTGCGACTCATAGCGACCCTATGTACAACAGCCCTAAACTCCGCTGGAACTAAACCACTAAACAGGCGCCACCTTCAGGTAAGTAGTGCACCTCTTCACGGATTAAGGTGCTCTCCAAACCTCAGGCAGAGTACATTGAGACTCTTGAGGGATCTCTGAACCAGGCACCCCTTTAGGCCTCTTTTCTCCCAGGTAAGTTTGGCATCTTCTCTCCTTTCAAATCCTGTTCCAGATTCTCATTTTTCTTCAAGTACTACTAAGTGCTTGGAAGCAGTGTGGCATCAAATTCCTAAACAGCATGCCACTGGAAACTCTGTGAACTCTGATACATGGCAATGGTTGTGGACGGGCTTCAGGCCTTTTATTCAAGGGGTCGCTATGAGTGGTACTCAACTCGACGGCAATCAACAACAACTACCAAGTACATCTAGCTCTGGCTCCTCTATTTTTCTCATTACTACCATCACCACCCATGTCTATCAAGGTGGGCTTGCACCACATTCGGGTCTACTAGATGTCATCTGTGTAGTTATTTTCCAGCATAAAGGGCAGGCACTCAAATTGACTCTAACCCTAAAAAAGGACTATACACCCTTTTGTACATATAGGAAAGGGCATACACAGGACACTCAGGACAAGCTGCTGAGCAAGACAGAGGCCCAGGGCCTTCCTACCGTTTAGTTCCCACCCTCTGATTTGGGGCAATGTCAATGGTGTCGGTAACCGCATCATGACGAACAGCCAGGCCCAGGTCTGCGATGGCACACATTCCATTTTTCTTCACTAGGATGTTCTTTGACTTCAAGTCTCGATGAGCAATTCCAGGCTTCCCTGGAAATTGGGGGGACAAGGGAATTTTTAAAGAAAGGCAGTACAAAAGCTAAAAGCCCAGGCTCTGCAGGCAGACTGCACAGGTTGTTTAAGTTTCAGCTTTGACTCCCACTAACCCAGCAGCCCTAGAAAAGTGACCTCACTCCTCTGAACATCAGTCTTCTCATCCATAAAAATGAGAAAAACAGTACTGACCTCATAGGAACAGTATGAAATGACTATATTAATGTGACTAAATAAATAACTTATGACGAGTAGGTGTTTAGCTAATACTACTTTGATTACTTGCCTTCCTTGAACTAACATACCCATGTTTAGATTTGCTAAGGAATTCAAAGAAAAGTTGCTATGTTCTCAGAATCAAACAGGTCTAAAGATGAGGACTGCTAATATCACAGCATGGACTAGGAATGAGGTCAAACTTTAATACCTGCTTTTGTGAAAAGATCAAGGATCTCCCCAAAGATGATTACCACAGTCAACAGCAGAAGAGTTTGAGGTCTTTCCCCTTACAACACAATTTTCCTAGATTAGTAAGGCCCAGTGTTTAATTCACCACTTTAAACCCAGCTATTACTACCTACCAGTCAGTGTCTGAAATTAAGAAAATGATGGCCCTTGTCCCAATCTGTTTTATCTTCTTAGTGTTATTCTTTTACATACTTATAGTGAGCTGATTATCAAACTACTGCCCGGACACTGAATGACATAACAAGGACATCACAGAAGAGGGGCTTGAAATTTTGTTTTCACGCAAGTAAATGGCAAACTTCTCTTTTAGATGAGACAGTCATTCCTGAGGTTGAGCTCCAACTTTTTCCATAAAAAGGAATTCAGGAAATTAAATCAGGATGGCACAGGCTTCTGAAGTCTACCCATACCCGCCACTACTTTGGTGAGGCCTACTCACCTTGTGTCCCCACAATCTCCATGTGCAGGTGTGCTAGTCCACTAGCGGCAGACAAGGCCAGCTTGATCATCCCCTCAATTGTTACTGTGTACCGGTTAAGGTAATCAAACAGGGAGCCATGCTCGTGATAGTCAGAGACAAGCCACAGCTGTGTCCAGGTGCCATTATCTGCAGAGGAACAACAAATGAATTCTAGAGATGGAACTCGCAGCGAAACAGAAATTGACCCACGCAGCACAAAATCCAGTCACATTCCTGCATTTACGTTTCTTACCTCTACACCTCCCAGTGCCCTCCTCTCTGTTTCAACTACAGATGTTCACTTCTAGGTTCCAGTAAGAACAGAGGAGCCTATGGCACAGTGGTTAAATTATCAACTGCCAACACAGAAATCTGTAGCTTGACTTGTTACAGTCTGCATCTGTGACGATCTAGGGCCTTGGAAAGCCTAGGAGGTGGTCCTAACGTCTCCTGCTGGGCTGAGTTGAAATGGACTCAACAGCAATGTATTTGGTTTGGCTTTTAGGGACAGAGAGCATTCTCTGCCCTTTGGCCTGCTTTGACAGAGTGATCACCTTTATGCATCATTGTCTCCCCGGCACCAAAAGGCTTTTCACTGAACAAACAGCACACTTCCAGGTATTCCAGGTCATCTTATCTACCCTCGGAAGTATGGAAGCAATCAGAATACATTTTTTTCTTTTTCTTTTTTTTTTTTAAATGAAATCGAAGTCCCCCCAGTGGAGTGGAGGGGATGCAGTGGAGCAAGGAGGAGGAAGGAAAGGGATAAAAAAACCCCACACACCCAAAACCCCCAACAAACCAAAAGCAGATAATCTAATTAGGTTATGCTGTTGTCAATAGGAAGATTGGAAATTAGACTGCGATCACCCAAAAGCCAAGCTGGAACCAGTTCCAGACCACTGTGCCATCATGTTAAAAAAGGCAAGACTGGAGTAACGTTTTTTTCCCTTCTTTGGCCCTCACGTGGATTTCAACAGCCAGATCGCGACTCACATGAGTGGCCAGAATCAATAAAGGGAGTGCCTCCTGGGAAAGTGTGAGTCCTGGCCTCCCTTATTATAAACAAGGGCCCACCCAGTCCACTGTCCACACTCTGCACCCAGCCTACCCGCCTACACTCTAACCAGTCCACCCTCCACACTCTACACTCGGCCCACCCTCCACGCTCTAATCAGCCCACCCTCCACGCTGTACACCCGGCCCACCCTCCACGCTCTAATCAGCCCATCCTCCATGCTCTAATCAGCCCACCCTCCACGCTCTACACCCAGGCCACCCTCCACGCTCTACACCCAGGCCACCCTCCACGCTCTACACCCAGCCCACCATCCACGCTCTAACCAGTCCACCCTCCACGCTCTAC